ACACCTCACCTTACAAACATGTCCATGCCCTCTCTACACTTCACCCAACAAACACGCCCATAACCTTTCCATACCAACCCAACAAACACGCCCATGCCTTCCCTACACCTCACCTCACAAATATGCCCTCTCTACACCCACCCCACAAACACTAACATGCCCTCTCTACACCTCACCTCACAAACATGCCCATTCCCTCTCTACACCCACCCCACAAACGAGCCCATCCCCTCTCTATACCTCACCTCACAAACACGCTCATGCCCTCTCCACTCCAACCCCACAAACACGTCCATGCCCTCTCTACACCCCACCTCACAATCATGCCTAAATATGCCAACTTTTCACACATGCTCAGGTAATGGGAACCACGAGACGTGTCATCACATAAGCTCGCAGCCCTAAATGGCAATACCAAATAAACAGCGACTCCTGCTCAGGTGAGCACGTTCCTAAACGGACAGGATTGCCATAATCCTTCGTGGGTTTGACGTTAAATACAAGGTCCTGCAATCTAATGCTGCTCTCTTGGGCGAGCACCGTTCCTTGCGGCTCGCACCTGAGTGGCAAAGCTTCCTACACACGAGAAATGACTACTTAAAATACTATTATAATGGAGGTTAGTGACCTCTCGAAGAACATTGTTTAATTCTCCTGGACACGTTAATAAATGTAAATATTTTACACATCAACATGTTTCGTCAGTTCTCAGATTTACAAGATAATGATGCAGTGGATACTACAATATCTTCCACTAAGCAGGGATCTACTTAGATCTTTGATCTACTATGATCAAACAGGGACATACAGTTAACAAATAAAGCCAAATATTTCATTTAGTAAATGTCCCAGAATATTTACTCGGACATTATTAGAGTTAGAGAGCCGGATGGCTCATTCTACGAAGAGTTTACACTAGTGTAGACTACTGGCACATGTCACTTTAATCATCTATGTGTGTGTTTACCGGGTCGAGTGTTAGCTCCTGAACCCAGAACTTAAGGTGTCAATCATCCGCCGAAATGGGTAAATGCTTCTTATTTTATTTCCCTTCTTTAACTAAATTTTATGTTGGCCTCAAGTCCTTCTCCTTTCACTTGCCTGCAGCCTTCCGTGGCATAACTACAACATATCTGATCACCAAGTTCTTTGTTCCCTCCTACTACTCACTAAACAGTTTCTCTATATCTACGCTGTCAATACCACTTAGAATCGTACATGTTGTTACCATGTCTCTTTCTGTCGTATCTCTGTAGGCGTTAACGGCGGTGCTGGCGACATGGGCAGCGGCTGGTGGGGTGTGGGCGTCTACCGTGGAAGACCTACGAGCCGAGCATCGAGCGATCGACCTACCGGTCGACCGAGTTGTCGACCTTCCGGCCGAACACCGAGCCCATGACTTCACTGATCTTCTCTCCAAGCTTCCTATTGCCACCTCCAATATGTTCATCTGGAACCACCCGGACGGCAGTTACAGGTAGGAGGAGCTCTTCCTTCTTAGTGTCTCCAATGGCGCCTGATGGTACACAGGCGCTCCCAGTGACCATCTTCCAGGCTTGGCCATTACTCCTGTAACTCTCTAGTGATCAATGGCGCCATTCATTTACATCTGACTCGTTAACTGATCCATATTTAAGTATATTAATCTTTGAACAATTCAGTGACCCCTTGTCGTCATTTTCCCCTCCCACCCTCAATGACTCCAGTTGTACCTAGCGATCAGTGAGTCATCAATTACCTCCTGATTCACCCAATGATTCCGTGACACCGAATGACCCCTGACTCACCCGCTCCTGGCAGTATGGGTTCGAGTCACTCCTGGGGTGTGAGTTTTCAGTTGCATATAGTCCTGGGGACCATTCAGGCTTGTTCGCATTTGTGTTCCTCAAGTGTGCCCCAAAGAATGAGGTGATTTGATAAAATGCTATGCCCATGATTACCATCCGGGTGCCGGCGGGGGGGGGAGGGGGGGGTCAAATAGCTTCGGCTATCACCTCCTTATGTCTGGTCGTGATGGTCAAGTGGATTAAGGCGTCCTGTACATTCTAGTTGCGTTGCTCCTGGCAATATCGGTTCGAGTCACTTCTGGGGTGTGAGTTTTCAGTTGCATATTGTCCTGGGGACCATTCATGCTTGTTAGCATATATATATATATATATTATATATATATATATATATATATATATATATATATATATATATATATATATATATATATATATATATATATATATATATATATATGTCGTACCTAGTAGCCAGAACGCACTTCTCAGCCTACTATGCACAGCCCAATTTGCCTAATAAGCCAAGTTTTCATGAATTAATGTTTTTTCGACTACCTAACCTACCTAACCTAACCTAACCTAACTTTTTCGGCTACCTAACCTAACCTAACCTATAAAGATAGGTTAGGTTAGGTTAGGTAGGGTTGGTTAGGTTCGGTCATATATCTACATTAATTTTAACTCCAATAAACAATAATTGACCTCATACATAATGAAATGGGAAGCTTTATCATTTCATAAGAAAACAATTAGAGAAAATATATTAATTCAAGAAAACTTGGCTTATTAGGCAAATCGGGCCTTGCATAGTAGGCTGAGAAGTGCGTTCTGGCTACTAGGTACGACATATATATATATATATATATATATATATATATATATATATATATATATATATATATATATATATATATATATATATTATTAAATATGACCGAAAAAGTAAGATTAATAATTCTAACACGAATTTTCTCAATCTTTCGTACATTTCTTTTCACTGTTGGAGGTAAATCAAAAATAAATTCTCCAAAATTAATTTTTATTTCTAGTCTGACGCGACACGAGCGCGTTTCGTAAAACTTATTACATTTTCAAAGACTTTAGTTCACAAATACACAACTGAATAGAACTTACGCATCTCCGATTTTATATCTACATTTGAGTGAGGTGGAAGGGGTGATGTGGCATTAACACAAGACAGAACAAAATGTGGCATTAATAGGGTATTAATTTCATCAACACAAGACAGAACACGAAACAATGGATATTGAATAGAAGTGTTTGTAGAAAGCCTATTGGTCCATATTTCTTGATGCTTCTATATTGGAGCGGAGTCTTGAGGTGGGTAGAATATAGTTGTGCAATAATTGGCTGTTGATTGCTGGTGTTGACTTCTTGATGTGTAGTGCCTCGCAAACGTCAAGCCGCCTGCTATCGCTGTATCTATCGATGATTTCTGTGTTGTTTACTAGGATTTCTCTGGCGATGGTTTGGTTGTGGGAAGAGATTATATGTTCCTTAATGGAGCCCTGTTGCTTATGCATCGTTAAGCGCCTAGAGAGAGATGTTGTTGTCTTGCCTATATACTGGGTTTTTTGGAGCTTACAGTCCCCAAGAGGGCATTTGAAGGCATAGACGACGTTAGTCTCTTTTAAAGCGTTCTGTTTTGTGTCTGGAGAGTTTCTCATGAGTAGGCTGGCCGTTTTCAGGTCAACAAACTGATCGAAACTGTGAACGCCAAGAAATCCGGACTCCACCTGCCAAAGATCATTGGGGAATATAAACCTGGATATGTGTATGGAAATGTCAAGACACACAAGCCTGGAAACCCACTTCGGCCAATCATTAGCCAGATACCCACACCCACGTACAGACTGGCGAAGCGACTCAACGGCCTGCTGACTCCTTATGTTCCTTGCGCCTTCAGCCTGAAGTCTCCAAAGGAATTGTTGACTTACTGCGGGGCACATGGGCCACAGGGATAAGAGCCTCGTTGGACGTAGAATCGCTGTTTACCAACGTACCTGTGGACGAGACAATCGGAATGATAGCCGACAGAGTGTATCGTGATCCAGCCTGTACTCCTCTTGACATACCAGAAAATATTCTGAGGAAACTACTCCAAGCTTGTACTAAAGAGGCACCCTTCTTGAGCCCGGATGGGCACATGTATAAGCAAGTAGATGGGGTCGCCATGGGTTCTCCCCTAGGTGTCCTGTTTGCAAACTTCTACATGGGTACCATCGAGCAAAAAGTCTTAGTCGACATGAACTTGAAACCGGCCATATACTGCAGGTATGTTGACGACATTTTTACACAGGTACCTGATGTCAGACATCTGCAGGAGCTGAAGGAGGCATTTGAGCAGAGTTCCGTGCTGCGTTTCACTTACGAGATGGAAAAGGATGGGAAGCTGCCCTTTCTAGATGTAACAGTCATGGAAAAGGGCGGAGGTTTCCACACTGCAGTCTACACTAAGGAAACAAACATAGGAATGTGCCTAAATGCCAACAGCGACTGCCCAGACAGGTACAAGAGGAGTGTTGTTAACGCATATGTCGACCGTGCTCTCAGCCACAGCTCAGAATGGAAGCAAGTCGACGAAGAACTCTGTAGGGTAAGGCAGGTCCTAGTCAATAACGGCTTCTCCAATGGTTTCGTGGAAGACATCATAAGAAGGAAAGTGAAACGCCATGCAACCTCTGAAGAGACAACTAACACAACACCTATACCCCCTATTAGACTATTTTACAGGAACTTCTTTTCCACAGCTCATAAAACGGAGGAAAGGGTCCTGAAAGATATTGTTAATAGAAACGTTATCCCTACAGACAAAAATCAGAAGATACAACTGACAATTTACTATAAAACCAGAAAAACGGCCAGCCTACTCATGAGAAACTCTCCAGACACAAAACAGAACGCTTTAAAAGAGACTAACGTCGTCTATGCCTTCAAATGCCCTCTTGGGGACTGTAAGCTCCAAAAAACCCAGTATATAGGCAAGACAACAACATCTCTTTCTAGGCGTTTAACGATGCATAAGCAACAGGGCTCCATTAAGGAACATATAATCTCTTCCCACAACCAAACCATCGCCAGAGAAATCCTAGTAAACAACACAGAAATCATTGATAGATACAGCGATATCAGGCGGCTTGACATTTGCGAGGCACTACACATCAAGAAGTCAACACCAGCAATCAACAGCCAATTAATGCACAACTATATTCTACCCACCTCAAGACTCCGCTCCAATATAGAAGCATCAAGAAATATGGACCAATAGGCTTTCTACAATCACTTCTATTCAATACCCATTGTTTCGTGTTCTGTCTTGTGTTGATGAAATTAATACCCTATTAATACCACCTCTTGTTCTGTCTTGTGTTGATGAAATTAATACCCTATTAATGCCACCTCACCCCATCCACCTCTCTCAAATGTAGATATAAAATCGGAGATGCGTAAGTTCTATTCAGTTGTGTATTTGTAAACTAAAGTCTTTGAAAATGTAATAAGTTTTACGAAACGCGCTCGTGTCGCGTCAGACTAGAAATAAAAATGAATTTTGGAGAATTGATTTTTGATTTACCTCCAACAGTGAAAAGAAATGTACGATAGATTGAGAAAATTCGTGTTAGAATTATTAATCTTACTTTTTCGGTCATATTTAATAATATATATTTATATATATATACACTTGATACAATATTAGCGAATGGGAACATGTTCACGGTCCAACCGAAATGTGTTACTCTGAATAATAAACTTCTTGCAACCCAAACAACCAGGCTCGTCTGACGTCAGCTCAAAATTTATATACTTCAATTAAAATAATGAGTTCGTGTGGTTAGCATGCGCCCTCTGCCGGCGTTCATTGCATCTCAAACAACTACACACGACTTACAGAATATAAATGTTTGTCTTCAGTAGCATAGTATACAGTAGTTATTGAAGGGTAGAGATAAGTCTGGGTTGTAGGTTACCCATGAACGTCTTCTAAGCTCAGGAACGAATTTGTTCCATTGTCGTTTCTTAAGGTCTCATTAAAAAGCACTAAGAGTACAAACGTGGATGCCCACCGGAGGATATGTGTGTCCGTCTTTATTTGGGTGTACTAGTAGGGTGTTTGTGTCTCTGTATTGGTGAACTAGAAGGATGTCTTCGTTGGGGTTTACTAAAAGAATGTGTCTTTTGTTTGAGTGTACTAATTGTATGTGTGTCTTTGTTTGGGTGTCCTTGTAGTGAGTGTGCCAGTGGGACGCAGGTGGCCGAACACTCTAAACAGGAACTTACTAAAGCCGTCATTGCAGGTTCGGGATGCAGGGTGACGATCAGTGGCGGGTTGAGTCCAGGGACGCCGACGGCACCGTCAAGGGACGCTACTCCTACCAGACGCCCGAGGGCCAGGTTGTTGACATCACCTACGACGCCGGTCCTCAGGGCTACCGCGCCAGAGGAGGCGCCATCCCAGGGGGCGCCTCGCTACTACAGCAGCAGACGCCGGAGGAATCTCCGCTAGTACCAACACGGTACAGCCAGCAAAGTGGCGGGGAATTGTCTGATTACTACGGCGCTCTATTGTATGTTGACGTGGAGAAAACTCTTCCTAGTGGCGACGGCGTCACCACCTTCGCTGACGACGACAACGTGGCGATAGTGACGGACGTGAGGCTTCAGCAGCTGCAGGAGGGCCCCGTGGCAGTGTTCCCTGTCGGGTTCTTGCCAGGGTCCACGCTCCAGCTGGCAGGACCGCCTTTCGTCAACGACTCTCCTGTTCAACCGGCCGCCATTCCTGTGTAGATATACTCACGCCTGCACTCATACCCCCGCATGAATTATGACTCCAACGCATCACCAAGGTGTTTCTTAACGGCACTAAAAGCACTCCCAGTCGTCTGATCGTCATCAGTTTGAGTGGTTGACTTTGTCTTATTGAAGACCAGAGCCTGAGTGATTCTTCTCTTGTGGCGGTCCCAAGATGAAGCTGCGGCCAGTTGCTGCGTAGAGAGTGCCAGTAGACAGTATGGAGAGTGCAAACAAACGGAGTATAGAGTGCCAGCAGACGGTGTGGCGGCTGGACAGTCGCCGCATCAGTAATCTTGTTACCTATAAGCTTTAATGGGCATTTCCGTGTTTACCAATTCGTAGTTCCGGCACAGCTGAGACGATCCGCATGAAGGTGTGGCGAGTCAGTATGGCCAGAAGAGAACTCAATATGATTGTTCAGGGCGGACCGGAACGTCGTCGTTCCTTTCTTTCTAGTGTGCGGTTTGGTCAACACTCAACATGATTTTCAACAAAGACAATTAAAATCACTTTGAGGCAATGGAGCGGCTTGAACTCGTTCTCGGTTGTATCATCGTGACCGAGTGGTCAAGACAGGCGTCTGGGAATCACCAGGTCATGGGTTCAAGTCACTACATCGCCTCGAAATGATTTGAATTGATGTCACGCCATTGAGATATCATTCCGACCATGGTTCTCAACATTTAATCCAGCGAGTAGCTATGTTTTCCTGCGAGTGTTTGAAGTTTAAAATTAACTGCATCAAAATTAAACTCGCCTTAGATTATGAGGAATAACTTGATACTTGAGTGCAAGTAGTTGAAGAAGAGGGTAAGACATCCCTGAGAGGTGTTGAGACCTCATCTCCATCAGGCTGTGCCTAGCTGCTGTGATGTTTAAATTAAATAAAAACTTGAAGAGAGTTTGTTGTTTGCCTTGCTGCCTGATTCTACAGAACCTTCCCTCCTCAAGTTATATTATGATAAATTATAGTTATAAAACACTTTTTTTCTTATTCTTAGGAAGTGTGTTATTTTTTATTTCTTACGCCTCCAAGGTATAGACAATGGCTATTATACCCCACAAAATTTGCTTTGACCTTTGCCTCAGACAGATTGGGTCTTGATGATGATGATTGATTGATGATGGTTAAGCCACCCAAAAGGTGGCACAGGCATGAATAGCCCGTAAGTGGTGGCCCTTTTGAGCCATTACCAGTATCAATAGATGATACTGGAGATCTGTGGAGGTGCGGTTGTACCCTGCGTGACGGGAGATGTCTCCCGTGAATGTGTTGGTGATGAGGAATATGTTGTTAAAGATTTGGCTACTGAGGACGAAGTGTCCATGTAGCACGGGCTATGGTGAGCCCGTAATTGAGTTTGGTTATACATGATAACCTTTTTCCTGTGATATTTGGGTCTAAGTTTAAAATGGAAGAGAGGACTTCTCCTTTTTCCCTGCTTATTTATCGCTTCTGTTTTAGTGCACTGGTTTTAATCTTGTTTTATTAACATTATCTTGGTGGCGGATGTAGATGCAGAATGCTCACTAATGATTCCCATTCCTCAACAGCTTTTCTAATCATTGTAGTCGCGGTGGAATGTGCATCTAATGCAGCTGCTGTCGTAGGATTAATGCTGAATTTGATGCACAAGGGTTCAGTAGCTTCACATTCCAGTAAGTAGTGCAATAGTGGCGCCTCTGCTTCAGTTTCACAGATGTGACCCTCTTTAACTATTGGGTTCATTACCTCCCAGCAGCACTTGTAGCCAAGTCTGAGTCTTTGTATGGCTACTGCAATGTCTCTGGATATCTTTTTGCCAGGCTTGAAAGAGGAGTAACCAGTGGCTTGTTCGTACCATATCGCAGTGGATCTTCCTTCCGCTGCTTTGGCTCTGTGGCGACTTTTAATAGTTGAGAATATTTTCTTCTTGATTTGCTCCTTTATCTGTGAGAAACTTGGAGGTATTTGAACCTGTGCAACAGGTAGAGCAGTGGCAGTTTTTGCTAGTGAGTCTGCCTTTTCATTCCCCTCTATGCCAATGTGACATGGTATCCAATTTAGGGTGATTGACAGCCCTCGATTATGGGCATCTTTTCCTATATGTTGAATTTCTGTGAGGAGTTGTATATTATCTCTGTGCTGACTGGATAACAATGCCTGAAGCGAAGATATAGAGTCTGTATGAATGATGACATCATGTAAATTATTCTCAATTGTATAGTTTATTGCCTCCTTCGGGGCATATAATTGGAAAATTGGGATGAAAATTGAAGGGCCTCAAAATAACAATTCACTTACGGTATATTACACTAACAGTAGAAGTCTAAGAAATAAAATTAACGAATTAAATGCTCTTGTCTGCACAGAAAAAAATAGATATTATTGCACTTACCGAAACGTGGATGAATGTAGAAAATAGAGAACTATTAGCTGAATATCAAATAAATAGATTTAAACTATTTCACACAGATCGATATATTAGATGAGGAGGGGGAGTAGCCATATATGTTGGGGACAGTTTGAAATGTAGTCTCAAAGAGGGAATCAAAACTGGGCCACACACAGAAGCTATTTGGATAGAATTAAACGAAAAAACAAATAATATTATAATAGGAGTTATATATAGGCCACCAAATTTAGACAGAATGGAAGCAAAGCATCTATGGGATGAAATATCTAGAGCATCAATCAGTCAGTCAGGTGCTGTCACAGTGAGAGGTTGTGTTAGCTGGAGCTCTGGAGTAACATTATTATTGCAATAATGGAAGGATTAGTGAAGGATTTGGTGAGTTTGGTTGGAGCTCTGAGAGCAGAGATGGATTCCCTGCGGGAGGAGGTACGACGGCTGAGACTTCGGGAGGAAACGAAGGAGGAGACCAAGGTCTTAAGAAGACCTTGACAAGGCCGCCTACAGACGCCCTAAGGACAGCAAATTCATTTGCCGTGTTGGAGGACGAGTGCTGTGGTGCGCCTGCAGCAAGGAAATCAGCGAGGAGCGGCAGAGTGCAGGCCTCTCAGGTTGCTCAGAAAGTTAAGGAGGTACCGAAGCGAATTTTGGTTGTGAGAGATTCCCAGGTGAGGTATTTAGACAGAACGTTTTGTGCCAGAGATAGGGGGAACCGATTAAGGGTTTGCTATCCGGGAGCTGGAATTGGTGATATTGTTGGAAACATGAATGATATTATGACGGGAAATGGGAACAAACCCATTATTTGTATTAGTGCAGGGGGTAATGATGTTGGGCGAGTTAGGAGTGAGGAACTAATACAGAGATTTAGGACAGCCATTGAATTAGTTAGGAGCAAGGGAGGAATCCCGATCATATGTGGCATTTTCCAAGAAAGGGAGTGGGAAATGAATGGATGTCGAGGGCACTTGGTGTCAATTGCCGGCTGGAAAGATATTGCAAATCAAATGCAATATCTTTCATAGACAACTGGGAACACTTCTATGGAAGAAATGAAATGTATGCTCGTGATGGGGTGCATCTATCGAGGGCTGGGGTTGTTGCTGTTGCGAACTCGTTGGAACCAGTGGTTAGAGGTGTATGTTTGGGTTTAAACTGTTAGTAGATGGTGGTATGGGAATTGATTTGGAGGAAGGAGTTAATAAAAGTATGTGTTCGTGGGAGAAAAGAATTGGCAAAATGATCAGGGAAAGAAAAGGGCCTCAATATAACAATTCACTTAGGATATATTACACTAACAGTAGAAGTCTAAGAAATAAAATTAATGAATTAAATGCTCTTGTCTGCACAGAAAAAATAAATATTATTGCACTTACCGAAACGTGGATGAATGTAGAAAATATAGAACTATTAGCTGAATATCAGATAAATGGATTTAAACTATTTCACACAGATAGATATATTAGACGAGGAGGGGGAGTAGCCATATATGTTAGGGACAATTTGAAATGTAGTCTCAAAGAGGGAATCAAAACTGAGCCACACACAGAAACTATTTGGATAGAATTAAACGAAAAAGCAAATAATATTATAGTAGGAGTTATATATAGGCCATCAAATTTAGACAGAATGGAAGCAAAGGATCAATGGGATGAAATATCTAGGGCATCTAGATCTAACAGTATTTATGTCATGGGTGACTTTAATTTTAGTGGAATAAACTGGGTGAACAAAACAGGGAATAGTGAAGCAGAAGATTTTCTAGAATTAATTGACGATTGCTTTCTTACGCAACACATTAAGGAACCAACGCGGGAAAATAATATTTTAGATTTAGTGTTAACTGACAGGGAAGCACAAATTAATGACATCGAAATAGGGAATGAGCTAGGGAACAGTGATCACAAAGTAATCAGATTTAGCATAGAATGGAATAGACCTGTAGGAGAAAATTCTGTTAAAGTGCCAGATTTTCGAAAAGCTGATTTTAATAGCCTAAGAATTTTTTTGGGTCAAATAGATTGGAAAGTCTTGGGTATGGGGTGTGGGACGGTCTTAGAGTGAGACATGAACCCAGCGATAGGTGACGTAAATGGGGATTTCGATGTGGATTCAATATATAACTTATTTAAGAATATTCTAAACAAAGCACAGGAACGTAGTATACCATACAAATTGAATAGATCGAATACTAATGACCCAAAGTGGATAACAAAGAATTTGAAGAACCTTACAGGTAAAAAGGGAGCGTGGTACAAAAGGATTAAAAATGGGGAGGTCACTTTAGAACAGGAATTCGTACAACTGGTTAGAAATGTTAAAAAAGATATAAGGAAAGCAAAAAGAAACTATGAAGTTCGCATAGCAGGGCAAGCAAAGTCAAATCCTAAAGTTTTTTTTTCAGTTATATCGTACTAAGACTAGGGAAAGGATAGGTCCATTAAAAACTGAGACAGGTCAAATAACAGATAGTGATGAAGAGATGAGTAGTATTTTTAATAAATGTTTTGTATCTGTATTTACTAAAGAGGAACTTAACAATATGCCTTCAGCCAAACAAGTCTATGTGGGTGGGGACGAGGACAGGTTGACGAGTTTAGCAGTTACCAGGGAGGATGTTCTTAAACAAATAGTAAAACTCAAACCAAACAAATCCCCAGGGCCGGATGAAGTGTTTGCCAGGGTGCTTAAAGAATGCAAAGAGGAGCTTTGTGACCCACTGTCAACCATATTTAATAAATCAATAGAGTCAGGCAGAGTGCCAGAGTCATGGAAGGTAGCTAATGTGGTACCAATTTTTAAGAAAGGAGATAGATCACTTGCGTCAAACTATCGGCCAATTAGCCTAACGTCTATTGTGGGAAAGTTACTTGAATCAATAATTCCAAATACAATTCGTCTCCATCTTGAAAAACATAAATTAATAAATGAGTCGCAACATGGTTTTACAAATGGCCGTTCATGTTTAACAAATTTGCTAACTTTTTATCTAGCATAGTTGAGGCAGTTGATAGTGGTAAGGATTGTGATGTGTATCTTGATTTTAGCAAAGGTTTTGATACAGTGCCACATGAAAGACTGATTAAAAAGATAGTCTCTTGGTATTGGGGGTGCTATATTAAGCTGGATTAGGGCATGGCTATACCAAAGGAAACAGAGAGTTAGTATAAATGGAGTCAAGTCAGAGTGGAAAGATGTTGTAAGGGGAGTGCCTCAAGGCTCTGTCCTGGGACCTCTGTTGTTTATAATATATATAAATGATTTAGATTCAGGTTTGAGTAGCAACATTTGCAAATTTGCCGATGATACGAAAATCGGTAGGGAAATTAATTCGAAGGAGGACTCACTATCACTTCAAGTTGATCTAGATAGGGTTTTGAAATGGTCAAAGGATTGGCAAATGCACTTTAATGCTGATAAATGTACAGTTCTGAGGTTAGGTAATGATGATAGAGTTACAAGATACGAGCTAGATGGTGTTGAGATTGCGAAAGGGATCTGGGAGTTA